TTTAGTTCTGATTTAACAGTGAAACATGGAAGAATCTGATCACCAATTACTACATGCTCACATTTAGTGTACTCAGAAATACCTAAATCCATCTCAGACATAACACTTATTTCACCCACTGACACTTCTGGCACTAGCTGCTTTGTCAACTGGTTGCTAGGACACCTATCATCCTCAGCAACCCACTGTGTCATACCCGCCATTACCATGGATACATCTTCTTCTTTGATATTGATTGGCTCAGACTTAATTGGCTCACACTTAATTTTCACACAAGTTGTATCTTTTTATGGTAGAACTACAGCTGCATAAACCTAAATCAGTTTCTTTCTTCAGCTTAGCTACCCATCAGGTCTTTTTGGTGACGAAATTAACCCTCTTGAATAAATGAACTTGAAACTGCCTTCAACATTACTGGAGCAATCTTTCTGAGTTAAGATCAGTTGGATGAGCAATAAGTAAATTTTTGGTTCAGTCAATGTTTTTGAGCATACAATGGGAGTGGCTGCAGTAACAATGGGATGCTCTGCCATTACATCTCCTGGCATATGTATTTAGTGTGTTGTCGAATGTCCTCAGAAAAGCTGTCAGTAGCAGTACTTGGTCGATCAAATGCTGAAATCATTCTGCTTTGAGTGTTTGTATGAAGACCTGAAGACATAGTTGTGTCTTTGGATAACTCTGTACCCCTTGGCAGAGGCACATGTTTAGATTTGGTTGCCGACATTTTGAATTCGCTAAGTACAGACTCCTGGTGCACTGGAGCAAGCGAGACTGTCACAGGTTCCACATGACTGCAAGTCGATGTGGCATGGCAGCTAGGCATTTCGTTACCAACCAAAGGCTGCTTCTCAGAAGGCAGGGAGATAGATATACCCATCCTATTATTACTTGGCTGATTAAAGCTTTGGTTTGATATATGTTCAGTATTCAATTGTATAGTTGTGTCATCAGCTTGAGTCTTTTCTACAGCAAAGTTGTGAGGAGCATCAACAATACTTTGCACATTACTTATGACAACACTTGACGTACCAGTGCAATCAACAAGATTCCTATCTGTTGACATATCAAAACTACCTTTCACTTTACAAACTTGAACATTGAGAAGGTCTGTATGGGTTTTATTCTCACTGCAGAACAAAATATTATTTCCTTCCGGGGTTGAAACAGTCTTGGTGGTTGCTTTCATTACTTTAAGACAAGCTGTATATGGTAAT